TCTCTCTCTCTCTCTCTCTCTCTCTCTCTCTCTCTCTCTCTCTCTCTGTCTCTGTCTCTCTGTCTCTGTCTCTGTCTCTCTGTATGTGTGCATGCTGAAAGTATGAACTGAGCCCGTGCCTCTATGCTAGGAAACACTACCACTGAGTTGCATCCCCAGTTCTGGGTATCTCTTAAATGACCTAGGAGGAGGAATTGAGAACCTGCAGCCGGGTGGGAGGGAGGGGAGCAGGTTGGAGGCCTGGGTCTCCTAACCTTTCCCTGCTGGCCCATTCAGTCCCAGTAAAGCAGGGCACCTGTGAGGTGATCGCGGCACATCGCTGCTGCAACCGGAACCGCATCGAGGAGCGCTCCCAGACCGTCAAGTGTGCCTGCCTCTCTGGCCAGGTGGCGGGCACTACAAGGGCAAAGCCCTCCTGCGTGGATGGTGAGTGCATGACCAGGCTCTGGACAGCCAGGTGGGTAAGGAGGCCCAGGGCAGAGATAAGAAAGTCTGTTTAGGCTTTCCCATCTGCTGAGGATCCAGTTTCATAGCCATCTTGGGGCTTACCTTATCAGTCTCCAGTAAGGGAGATCGTCTTGGAGAAGAGGGCAGACATGACCCACCCTGTGTCCTAGAGGAAGAAAGCTCTGGTTACAGGCCACACACACCTGCCACCTGGTTTACACACACAGGGAGGCATTCCTGCACACTAGTTCCTCGGCCCGCATCTTCCTCCAGAGAGGTCCTCTTCTACAAGCCCCCTCTTATTCCCAGCCTACCTTTGCCTTCTCCTTGGGGTCATATGTGATCCCTCACGTCGTACACCCACGTTCCCTCCTTTCTGCCCACACTTGTGTTCCCACACTCTGTCAGCATCCGGATCACCACGCTTACACTTGCTAACCTGCATTCCAGCTTGTACACTCCTGGATGTGGCTTGGACAGCAGTTTGTATGCACTAAGGAGAGCACTGATGGTGGTACCTCTCTGCTATAGACAGCTGACTCAGACTCAGCATCACCTGCCTCCCAGCTTGGTGTCCTTCTGCCTTTTTGGTGTGATGCAGTGATGAAGTTGATTGGGATAGTCCCCGGCCCTCAGCCTAAGTACAATGCTGCCCCCTTGGACAGCCCAGGTTAGGGGGAACAGAAGGAAAGGCGGTCAACAAAGCTCAAGCTATGTGGGCAGGTACGCCCTATTCCCGGGCCAGCTGTGCTGTGCTCCCAGAGCTTAGAGCCTCGCCTGCCTCCTGCCCCACAGCTGCCATCGTCTTGCAGAAGTGGTGGTGTCAGATGGAGCCCTGCCTGCCGGGGGAGGAGTGCAAGGTGCTCCCGGACCTGTCAGGGTGGAGCTGCAGCAGTGGACACAAGGTCAAAACCACCAAGGTATTGAAGTGGGTGCTTCATCCTCCCCTCGTGTTCCCCTTTCTCCTGGGGTAGCACAGGGGCCAAGCCCTGGAGGGCCAGGGTGGCAGTGCCGTGAGATGGGCATGTGACATGTAAGAACATGTTCCAGTCTCCTGAGTCTGTCTCCACTCTAGGTACTGCTGCCAAGGGTGTGGCTCGCCCTTATTGGCAAAGCTGACGTTGGTTCTGCCTGCCTTGGTTTTCTCCTCTTTGCTTGGCATAGGTTTACTACTAGAAAATATCAGGCCTTTAAAAAGAAAGTAGAGCAGGCCACAGGCCACAGTGGCACACATCTGTAATCTTAGCAGTCAGCGAGAAGGTCAGGGGTTCAAGGCTAGCCTGGGCTGCATATACCTGTCTTTAAAAAAAAAAAAAAAACAAAGAAAGAAAGCCTAAGGAAGGAAAAAGTGAAGACCTAGGAAATTACCTAGGCCACTCAGGGAGGAAGTTTTCCTAACATCTGGATTCCAGACCCAGTAACCACTCTGTCTGCCACCTCTGCCACAGACTGTCCTCTGTAAGTAACTCTTACAGCCACTAGCTCCCTGCAGTTCCTACCTGCCCTCCTCTAGTCAAATTGATCTGTCCTCAGTGACAGCACCCATGAAGATTATTATCACCATGGCTCACTGCCTGCCCCACAAAACGGGGGGGGGCAATTAAAATTTAATCAAACTCTTTAGCAGTTCCATGTGTGCCTTGGCTAATTAGTTGCATGCTGTGGCTAATTAGTTGCATGTCATTGTCATCATCGTCTGGGCAAATGAGTGACAAGCCCAGGCAGTGTCTCTGACCCTGTCCCCATCGTGCACAGCAAGAAGGTTAACAAGCAGAAGCAAAAACAGGTTCCAGGATTCTAAGAAAAGTGGGGGTTATCATAGAACACACAACACTGGTAGCTAGCTACAGCAAGAGATAGTTTGGGGGCTGGAGAGATGGCTCAGTGGTTAAGAACACTCTTGCAGAGGATCAAGGTTCAATTCCTAGCACCCGCAAGGCAGCTCACAACTGTCTATAACTCAATCCTAAAGAATCCAATACCCTTATGTGGCCTCCCTAGGCACCAGGCACACATGTGGTGCACAGACATTCATTCAGATACAACACCCATACATATAAAAGTTTAAAAAAAAAGAAAGAAAGGGAGGCTGGAGAGCTGGCTCAGTGGTTAAGAGAACTGGCTATTCCACAGTTCCTGAGTTCAGTTCCCAGCAACCACATGATGATTCACGACCGTCTATAAAGTTGGGTCTGATGCCCTCTTCTGACATACAAGCAGATAGAGCGCTGGCATACAGAAAAAAAAATTTAATTAAAAATAAATATATAAATAAATAAATGAAGAAAAAGAGAGAGAGAGAGAGAGGGAAGAAAGAAAGAAAGAAAGAAAGAAAGAAAGAAAGAAAGAAAGAAAG